CTGCGCTGTTTGTCCCGGAAAGAGCAGCTGTTTATCCCGAACGAGCTAATAATACTCGACCTTCAGCCGAGCCACCGAGTGGCTTTGACCTTGAACGTTGGAAGTGAGAGCTGAGACCTTGATTCTGTCCCTAGTGCAGGCTCGGTGCCGCTACCCCTCCCACCCCAAGTGTAAGTAATGTGGCAGCCCCGTCCCCCGTCCCCCAAGGGGCCCTGCCAGCAGGGAGTGGCCGCACCCGCATGCCCTCCCCCATGGCGCCTCTGCCGTCCCTGCCCTCAGGACAGCGAACCTTGGGCGCCCGCCCCGGCCCCAACGCTGTGCTCCGGTCTCCCCTGCAGATCCTGGAGAACACGCCCGAGAACCACCCCGACCACAGCCACCTGAGGCTCGCCCTGGAGAAGGCGGAGGAGCTGTGCTCCCAGGTGAACGAGGGGGTGCGGGAGAAGGAGAACTCCGACCGGCTGGAGTGGATCCAAGCCCACGTGCAGTGCGAAGGCCTGTCCGAGGTTCGCCGCCTGGGGTGGGGTGGGCATGGGACCGGCCCGGGGCCCGCTGACCCCCGGCAGCCAGCCCGAAGGGGACAGATCATGGACCACCCCCTCTCCAGCCCACAGCTCTAGCTACTTCTGATGTGCTGTTGAACCCATCCACTGAGTTTTTAAATTCCAGTTACTGTCTTTCCCATTCCCAGCAGCTCTATTTTCTCTGATTTGCTGGTTTCTTTCTAGTGTCTTATTTCTTGCACAGGTGGCCTTGCTCCTCGTTTATTTCCTAACACATTTTAACGCAAATCCTGTGTGTTTCAAACCTGACCATGCCGGTACCTAACGTCATGGATCTCTTTTGTCTGCTGTTGTGCTCGCCGCCTCCACAGGCAGTTCCGTTGTCTGTGCTGTGATTGCTGTTTGTGGGCTCAGTGTCCCTCAGGGTTTATCTGTGGGATCTTTGCAGTCAGGGAGCTGAAGGGCTTGTGCTTCTGGAGAGAGATGCTGGGTGGAGCATCTCCCCGAGGCCCGAGTGTGGACACCTGGGGACTGTGACATTTGCCTGGATCATATTGCTGCCTGGCCATAGCTGTGGCCTTCCTCTCCCTCAGTCTCCCTGCTGCTGTCAAAAAAGGAGGCCTTGGTCAGGTTGTTCCTGCCTCAGTCTTCCTCTGCCCCTTCATAACCTGCTCACATGAGATGATAGAGTCATGGGATGACAGAGCATGAGAGGATAGAGCTAGGGGGGATGATAGAGAAAGGGGATGAAAGAGCCTGTGTGTGTGTGTGTGTGTGTGTGTGTGTTCATGGGATGACAGAGCATGAGAGGATAGAGCCAGGGGAGTGGCAGAGCACGAGATGATAGAGCTAGGGAGGATGATAGAGCAGGGGGGATGAAAGAGCCTGTGTGAGAGAGAGAGAGAGAGAGAGAGATAGAGCCAGGGATGATAGAGCAGGGGGATGAAAAAGCCCGGGTGTGAGTGATAGAGCACAAGATGATAGAGCCAGGGGGATATAGCATGAGATGATAGAGCCAGGTATGCAAGAGCATGATAGGATAGAGCCAGGGGGTGAGAGAGCCAGGGGTGAGAGAGCCAGGGGGATGAAAGAGCCTGGTGGGGATGATAGAGTCAGGTGGGGGTGATAGAGCTGCAGATAGAGCCAGGGGTGATAGAGCAGGGGGATGAAAGAGCCTGGGTGTGTGTGAGTGATAGAGCACAAGATGATAGAGCCGGGGGGGGGGAATATAGCATGAGATGATAGAGCCAGGGATGAGAGAGCATGATATGATAGAGCCAGGGGGTGATACAGCGGGGGGATAAAAGAGCCTGATGGGGATGATAGAGTCAGGTGGGGGTGATAGAGCTGCATTTTAGCACTCAGGCCCATCTCTTAAGGTTTGGGAAGTCGCAGGGGGAAAGTTGTACTCAGTACCAGTGAGCTGGATGAGGTTGACTCGCACCAACGCAGTGTTTATTCTGCTTGGCTTTGTGTGAGGCATCACTGGGCCCCCTGAGTGTTGCTCTGCCCAAGGTCCTCAAAGCAGGCCTTTAAAATTTGTTTTAAATTACATTTATTGGGGTGACATTGGTCAATAAGATTATACAGGTTTCAGGTGTACAATTCTAGGGTGCATCATCTGCATGTGGCATTGTGTGCCCACCACCAAAGTCAGATCTTCTGTCACCATACGGTTGACCCCATTACCCTTCACCCCCCCTCCATGCCCTTCCCCTGTCGCCCCCATACTGGATTGATGAGCTTTTGTTTGTCTTGTTTGCTCATTTGTTGCTTTAGGTTTTATGTCCCACACATGAGTGAGATCCTATGGTTCTTGACTTTTCCTGTCTGACTTATTTCGCTCAGCACGATATTCTCTTTTTTTATTCATTTTATTTTTTTATTGATTTCAGAGAGGAAGGGAGAGGTAGAGAGAGATAGAAACGTCAATGATGAGAGAGAATCATTGACCGGCTGCCTCCCGCACGCCCCCCCCTGGGGATCGAGCCCCCAACCCGGGCCTGTGCCCTGACCGGGATGGAACCATGACCTCCTGGTTCCTAGGTCAGTGCTCACCCCTGAGCCTCGCGGCCGGGCCAGCACGATGATCCCAAGGTCCTTCGGGCCCCAGATCCGATGCAGCAGGTGCGTTCAGAGGCAGAATCGGCAGCCTCCGCCTGACCCGCCTCCCTCCTGCCTTCTCTGGGCTTTGTCTTCCTTTCTCAGCAACTTGTGTTCAACTCGGTGACCAACTGCTTGGGGCCACGCAAGTTCCTGCACAGCGGGAAGCTCTACAAGGCCAAGAGCAACAAGGAGCTGTACGGCTTCCTCTTCAACGACTTCCTGCTGCTCACGCAGATCGTGAAGCCGCTGGGCTCCTCGGGCACCGACAAGGTCTTCAGCCCCAAGTCCAACCTGCAGTACAAGATGTACAAAACCGTGAGTCGCACGCGCCGGCGCGTCCGGGTGCTGTGGGCGGCCGTTCCCAGGAGAGTCCAGAGGGGGCCGTGGTGTGGAGGAGGAGGTGAGGGGAGGCCAGGGTTCGGGTGCCTGCACGGCCACTTCCGGTACAGGCGTCCCGTCTTCCTGAGCTTCTCTTGTTGACCTTCACAGAAATTGTGTTGTTTTTAAAAAAATATATTTTTATTGATTTCAGAGAGGAAGGGAGAGGGAGAGAGAGATAGAAACATCAATGATGAGAGAGATCATGGGTCAGCTGCCTCCTGTACGCCCCACACTGGGGATCGAGCCTACAACCCGGGCATGTGCCCTGACCGGGAATCGAACCGTGACCTCCTGGTTCATAGGTCAACGCTCAGCCACTGAGCACCGCTAGCCAGGCTGAAATTGTGTTTTTTATAAATTGAAGGCAAGACCCTCCCCAGCAAAAAGACCACCACCCGCTTCATTGCGGTGGTCGGGACCCACCCACACGGTCTCTGAGCGGTGCCTGTGCTCCCAGGAGGGGCAGCGCTCAGGGCGGTGGATGAACATCCGTTAGCTGCCCAGCGGCTGCTGCGGGCCCCCCAGACCCGACGAAGGCACACCTGCCCTGGCGGGGCTCACAGTCAAGTGTGCAGATGAGGCGGGCACAGGAGAGGTGCCCACCTTCCCCATATCCCGGGTCCCCCTCCAAACGGCCCAAAGGGAACTTGACACATCCACGCCCCCACATGCAGCCGATCAGAACAGTCGCTGAGCGGGGTGGCCCTGAGCTACTCATTTAGTCTGCTCCCCCGTGCCCGCTGTGCTGTGTGTCTTATTGTCGCGGGACACTGTTTTTCCACAGTTGGCCCCGTGGGGTGTTCTGACAGATGAGTTTTCTCTGCATCAGCATTAGCCTTCGTTCAGAAGAAGAACAGTGTACACACCTGCATCTCCCCTAGCAACTGTGTATGGAAATCTTTGGAGGGATTGCTTGGCGGTAAGGTTGATGAAGGCTGTTCGCTGCAGGAAAAACAGACAGGTTCTCCTTCAGAAGGACTTAGCAAGACCTGCAAGCCCGGCCGGCGGGGCTCCGGGCTGAGCGTCAACCTACGAACCAGGAGGTCACAGTTCGATTCCCAGTCAGGGCACAGGCCCGGGTTGCAGGCTCCATCCCCAATAGGGGGCATGCAGGAAGCAGCCAGTCAATGATTCTCTCTCATCATGGATGTTTCTCTCTGAATCCTTTCCTCTCTGAAATCAATAAAATATATTTTTTTAAAAATACCTGCAAAATGGGGAGTCCCATATTTATAACCAGAGGCCCGGTGCATGACATTCGTGCACTCGGGGTGGGGGTGGGGGTCCCTCAGCCCGTCCTGCGCCCTTTTGCAGTCCAGGAGCCATCGGGGGATGTCTGACTGACGGCTTAAAGGCTGTTCGCTGCAGGAAAAACAGACAGGTTCTCCTTCAGAAGGACTTAGCAAGACCTGCAAGCCCGGCCGGCGGGGCTCCGGGCTGAGCGTCAACCTACGAACCAGGAGGTCACAGTTCGATTCCCAGTCAGGGCACAGGCCCGGGTTGCAGGCTCCATCCCCAATAGGGGGCGTGCAGGAAGCAGCCAGTCAATGATTCTCTCTCATCATGGATGTTTCTCTCTCTCTGTCTCCCTTCCTCTCTAAAATCAATAAAATATATATTTTAAAAATACCTGCAAAATGGGGAGTCCCATATTTATAACCAGAGGCCCGGTGCATGACATTCGTGCACCTCGGGGTGGGGTGGGGGTCCCTCAGCCCGGCCTGCGCCCTTTTGCAGTCCAGGAGCCATCGGGGGATGTCTGACTGACAGCTTAGGCCCGCTCCTAAGCCCGCAGTTGGACATCCTTAGTGCTGCTGCCAAGGCGGGAGAGGCTCCTGCCACTGCCACTGCGCTCACCAGCCATGAGCCGGCTTCTGGCTGAGCAGCGCTCCCCCTGTGGGAGCACACTGACCACCAGGGGGCAGCTCCTGCATTGAGCGTCTGCCCCCTGGTGGTCAGTGCGCATCATAGCGACCAGTGAATCCGCCCCTCGGTCAATTTGCATGTTACCCTGTTATTATATAGGATTTGCTACCTATGAAAGTTGATGTTAACACAGAATCATTATTCTGGTAGCGTTTACTAGAACACACACACACACTCGGAGTTCACGGGAACACAGATGCCGTCTGGTTTTTATAATGCCCGTGCATTATTTTTCAGCCCATTTTCCTAAATGAGGTTCTAGTAAAATTACCCACCGACCCGTCTGGGGATGAGCCCATCTTCCACATCTCCCACATCGACCGCGTCTACACCCTCCGAGCAGAGAGCATCAACGAGAGGTAAGAGCCGCCGCCTCCCAGGCACTGGGCACCGGGTCCCGCCAGGTGCAGCGCATGTGGGCATTTCATTAGCCAGCAGGCCCCCCGCTCCCCATCCCGAGCCTCAGCCTCTGGCTGGAGGGAGCGGGCAGGTCCTGTCCGTGCTTCTAGAGCCCCAGGAGGTGGACACGTGCGGGAATGTTTCCAAATAGAACGAGTTGACACTCATCTGCTGGGAGTTCCTGGGCAGGAGTGTTCATTTCTTTGAGATGAACGAGCAGCTCAGGCCTCCCAGGCGGCAGGAAGCAAAGGAAAGCGCCTCGGGGGTTAACGCCCTCCGCTCCCCCCGCTCCTGTGGACAGACATTCTGGACCCCGGAGCTGTGGGCACTTTGCTTCATGTCTGCCTGGAGCCAAAGGAAACAGATCGGCTTCCGGGCGGAGCGGACACAGGCCAGAGCGTTCCAGGGAGCGTGTGCCACGCGGAAACGGGCTGGTTCCATGCAGGGAGCGTGTGCCACATGAAAATGGGCCGGTTCTGTGCAGGGGGCGTGTGTGCCACGTGGAAACAGGCCGGTTCCGTGCAGGGAGTGTGAGCCACGCGGAAATGGGCCGGTTCAGTGCAGGGAGCGAGTGTGCCACGTGGAAACGGGCCGGTTCTGTGCAGATGGGCCTGAAAGATGAAGGCTTGCCCGCGGTGTCTGCCCCTTCATGGGACGCGGTCCCTCTTCCCTGACGGTTAGGGAGCCAGAGCCTGGCCGGTCAAGCTGGCCCAACGGGCAGGTGTGTGCTGCTCCCGGAAGGGAGGGGCGCAGCCGTGGCCCACGCTGCCCAGGGAGCGCCCAGGACACCCGTTTCCTCCCACGGGCGCCACGAGGTCTCGGGAACATCCCTACACGCACCCCTCGTGCCTTCCTGCTCACGGCAGGGTCACTATGAGCATCACGTGGCATAAGGAACTTGCTCTCCGAGCCGGTATTGCTGGACCCGAGTGCAGCCGAGCCGGGAGCTGCGTTCGGATGGACGGCCGGAGCCTCCCAGTCCTCCCACCTTCCATCTTTCCTTCCAGGACGGCCTGGGTGCAGAAAATCAAAGCGGCTTCCGAGCTCTACATAGAGACGGAGAAGAAGAAGCGGGAGAAGGCGTACCTGGGTGAGGCCACTGCCCGGCCCGCGGGCCCTGGGGGGGCCGGGCCCTTAGAGCTGAGGGTGTGCCTGGGGGGGCCGGGCCCTTA